GCGTCAATACTTAATTGGATATTTCCTCCTATACTTTTTAGCACGTAGCTATCTATTATTAGCATTATTCTTCCGACGTCTGATTTCTTTTTAATTATAGGAAATGCGTTTTTCTAAAATACATAAACTTTTGGGATTGACTGTATAGCCAATAGATCCTTAAATGAAACGCTACAGGAAATAATGATTTTACTCGTAAATAAGGATATACGTATACAGAGATCTGTATAGCAATTTTTTTCTGGCGACACACCCATACGACGTGTGAAACGAGTGAGGACAATTTGCGGAGAAACGACGATCTACCAAAACCGGAACGCAGTCAGAGCGGTTGTCGATTCGGAAGGAGGCAGGGATCTCGATATATGTACATAGATACAGACAGTAGCCTTGATACGATCGAGTCCCCTGGGCCTGTTGCAGGGAAAAGGGCACGGGTGTGTATCGCAGAAAGGAGCCACGGTAAACGACGAACAGGCAAAGAGCGCGGCTCGGGCGGAGTTGAGAGAAAAGGGCAGCGTGTGCAAGTGGAATAAAACTAAAACGGGGGGGACGCGGAGTCGGGCGGGACGGCGGAGGCGGATGGAATCGCTCGGCGGATGAAAGCTCCTCCGCGGAGAAAGAGAAATCAGAAGACGAAAAAGAGGCGAAGGCGCGATGGCGCGCGGCGGCCTGTGAGAACGATGATTGAAGTGCACGTAAGTACTTACGTGCGCGTACTTACTCCGGCTCTGGATAGCGGCGGTGGGCGCGGGTGTGCGCGCTCGATGCAAGAGAAGAGGATCGGCGGGCACGGCCACATTGTCGTCGATGCTCCCTCGTGGTCGACACCCACCAATGGCGACGAACGACTCTCTTCTTCTCTCCGCGAAAGCGACGATGAATCGGTGAAAACGTGTTGTGTGCGCGGCTCTGAACCATCTGACAATATCCATCCGCGCGCGTTAAAACTGTGTCGCGAACGCCTTCCTGTATACGTACAAGCGACACACCTACGCCCGCGCGTGTACGAGCTCTTTGATCGCGTTTACCTTTGGAGACGATTATGGGGTGGAAACATTGATCGGAAGGGATTGTTTAGACCGTTACTGGAAATGGTTTAACCCTTTACCTTGCACCGACGATTCTCTCCAACAATTATTTTCCGTTTCCCACCTGAGTACGAAACATATCCATGTTCCGACGTATCACCGAAAAGGGAAGGTTATCGTTTTAAGGTCTATCTACACTAACGTAACGTCGATGTAACGTCACCGTCTCCGTAGGTCGTAGGGCGTACGTAACCAGTACTGTAGTCTTTAGGGCAAGGTATAGGTAAAAACGTGTAAAAGGAGAGCCCATGTTTGACGCCGAATCGGCAGGCAGACAGCCTACTGTTTAGGGTCCACTATCTGCTTCGAGGGTTCTCTAAGACTACGATCTACGGAGACCCTGTGTGCCGTTGACGTGACGGTGACGTTTTAGTGTAGACAGACCTGTATACGAGATAATCTAAAGACGTGATATCGAACAAAGACTTTGTTTTCAAACCCGTATCTACATATCATACATACCTACACACCTTGTTCCTTTCCCGCAACGGCATTATAAAATATTTTCATTTTCTCCAACTGATTGGTTTACGGTATTGCCTCCATATACGTATAAGTGAAACGTTCAGGGAATCAGGAACCGATTATATTACTTTATATACTTACACTGGGTAGAGTCGATATATAAATTTCTATCTAAGAATGTATATACTATGTACATATGTGTAACGAAACGGTATACGATAAGGTACGGTTATGCTCCGCTCCGAATGGGGATATCGGAGAAATTTTACTACGTATAAAGAGACAGCATCTGATTGAGAGCTTATATCGAGGCAATACCGCAGCATGTTTGAAATTCGATTTAGACTCGATGAAATTGCAAGTTTGAAAATTGGATAAGTAGCTGGGATAACGAGACGGAGTGGGTGAAGACAGAGCAAATGACGATGCGTATGGTTCAACGATCATTATTAGTGATTATTACGAAACGATCGGCTGTACATAGAATAATTTTGAAACGAATTCTCGGATCACAATTGTCCGTAAAAAACATGGCGATAGGCGGGCCGTCTGAATTTCTCTCTTCCTTTCTTTCTCCTTTTTAATTGACGTTTACAGATCGAAGATGGATGAGTACCTGTACGCAGATATAATGCAATAAAGGAGAGGGAAAAGAGCGTGTCGTAAACTCTATACCGTTTCGTTTAATAAAATTAATCGTTTAAATACTTATCACAACTGGTAGAATAATGTAGGAACCCTGCCTGTGTGTCTTACGGTGTGCTTAAACAACTAGTTACAATTTCGGATCGTCCATTCATCTTCACGCTTCTCGAGACTGTCCGTTTTCGCTTTTGCAACGTTCCCGATTAAACGAAATTCAAATAAAGAAAAAAAAAATAAAAAAAGAACGAGAGAATTCGATTGAACGTTCGAACGAGTAAAGGAAGTAACGAAATGAAAGGTACTTACAGGTGAAAGTAGAGAGAAGAGAAGGACAGAACTGTGGTGGTTCCGCGCGCTTCGACAAAATATCTCGATTAAACCGTTCCACGAGCAGTTTCTTATCGACCAGTGATAGACTAGATACATACATACTTATATTACAATACGACTTGCAGCAAGTCGCGAGTCGCGTTGAACCGCGGCGGTGACACAACCGCAGCCGAGCACCGATCCTCCCATCGATCCGAAACGATGTGGCACGGCCGTCGCCGTCTCGTCTAGCAGTCGCACGCGAATCGGAGCCGACGATACGCGAGGTATTCGTGTAGCCGGATATCGTGCAATTCGGATCCGATCGCAGTTCGAAACCTTTCTCTGGAAGGCTCGGCCTAGAAGAGACAGAGGTGCTCGAGACTCGGGAGAGGAGGTTCATCCGGAGCAGCCGGACAAGGACAAAGCGATCGAGGCGAGCCGCTCGAGGGAGAGCGGGAGCGCGGCGGCGGCGATGGTGGCGGCGGCGGCGGCGGCGTTGGCTTTGGTTGGTTGGAGCGGGCCGACGGTCTCGTGAGCCGGACGGTGTTATTGCGAGGCGGATTGGGGTGGTTGGCCGTTAGGCGGGGGCGGCGGTGGCGGCGGCGGTTGAGGGTGCACTTGGTGGGGGAGGAGAGTGTGCGCCTGCACGTGAGCCGGATGATGATGGTGGTGCTGATGGTGATGGGAGTAGAAGATCGGCTGGGCGGTGGTCGGGGGACACGAGGTGCCGACGCCGACGCCGACTCCGACGCCGACGCCGACCGAGTGCGAGAGCGCCGACGTGGCTACCGATACCGGCGCGGCGGCCGACGCCGCCACCGGCGTAGCCACCGACACCGAGACGCTCCCGGACGTTCCGCTTCCGGCAGACGCCTCGTGGTACAATATCGGCACCCTGACCAGTCTCTGGGCCGCGTGCGCCATGTTCGCCGCCTCCAGTTCCGCGGCCAACTGCCGTTTCCACTTGTTACGACGATTCTGGAACCAGATCTTCACCTGGGTCTCGGTCAGCCGTAACGAGGCCGCGAGTCCGGCGCGTTCCGACGACGACAAGTACCGTTTCATGTCGAACGTGCTCTCCAGTTGGAACACCTGCGATCTCGAGAACACGGTCCTCGTCTTCTTCTTCCTCTTCATGCTGTTGGAGTCGCGGCCGTCCACGCCGACTTGCACGCTGTTCTGACCGTTTCCGCCGTTACCACCGCCGCCGCCACCTCCCCCTGGCCCGCCACCCACGCCGCCTGAGCCCCCTGTTCCGGCCCCGCTGCCGCCGTGCAGACTCGTCGAATTCGTAGATTCGCCTTCGCCATCCGCTTCCGGGCAGTCGTCCTGTTCGCCGAGGTCGTCGTGGCCTTCGTCGCCCGTCGATGGACTTCGCGTCCGATGCAATCGATCCTCGCCATTCTCCTCGTCCAATTCGTCTGTCGACAGAAAGAATCGTTCTTCCGTTTGGCGACTTCCGCGTACCACATCTACTTAGGACAAGATTATAGCTCGATTACTCCAATTAAAAACCGATAATCGATGCCTGTTTCGGCATTAGGCGAGGAACAACAGAGACCGGTTACAGTAATTTCGGTCCTAATTATTGTTGTGAGATAATTACGAGGCAACTGATTCCAGCGCACGAGAGGATCATCCATCGGTTTTAATTAAATAATTATACGCGATATAAATGGTCGGCGAGTGACGAATACACGCCAACACTATATCGCGACGTGCGCAATTTATTCGATCGGATGTTGGCGAAACAATTTGGCAAACGCTAAACGCGTTAATTAATTGGTCCTTCAAAACGTTTTCCTTGTAGAACGCCGAGACTGAATCGCGGAGACAGCCTCTTCCCCTCCCCCTTCGCTATTGTTCATCGTTAACTGTAAACGTACACGCGTGCGTCTGTATAATTCTCGGTGGCCCGACGGATTTAATAAATCAACCGAGGCTATTTAACTCGGACAAGGCCAGCGTTGCGCGGCGTTACATTTAATATTTACTCGATGATAGTCCGCTAATTAATATTCTATGTATCCATTTTGACATAATTGCCTCAGATATCGGGTTGAGCACGCGTTTCATCGCATCGATGAAATATTTGTCGTTTCTGCATCGGTTTTTCGCGCCTTTGGCGCAAAATCCGACTCTACGCGGACTCGCTAATCCGCGTTTCGCGCCTCGGTTTATCACCTCCCGGGGACCCGATCCCTTTGCTACATTTGTTTCTTTCTTTAACAAACTTCAGGTACAAATAATATTTACACGTACGCACGTATATCTTGGTTAAAAATCTAAGAAAAAAAATCGTTTTGTAACCCAAAGGAATGTTGCTTTAAATATTATGTGTTTTCCCATTCTACCAATTTGGAAACGAACGCGAAACGATGTTTTATAAAAAGCGTTTAGGATAAAATTGAATTGGAAGCATTTGAGCAGACGTTTGCAGAATTATCAGTCGTTCTCACCTAAGGTGCAAGGCGGCAGCGATATCCAGCAGGCTGCCAAGTATTTTGGCCAAGTGGCAGGAGTAAAACGATCGGGCTGGGTAAGGCGATCGACGTTGGTTTGTCGTGGTGGAAGCCGTGGAAGCCGTACTCGGTCGTCGTCCACACTCGCGTTTATACACTTACTTACGTAGAACACAGACTACAGACTAGTACAAACCCTCGCCTCGCCTTGCCCTTTCCTCTCCTCATCACTCCCGGCTCCCTTTACGATCCTCGCCAATTCCCCCGAACGCGTATTTCGTTCGGAAGCTAGTTCTTTTTTCTTTTTTCCACCTAGCCAACTGTCTCCGTTTGTTTATTTCTTGTAGTCGCCAAACAAACAGATAGAGTAAATGTCGCAATTCCTATTCACGTCTCAATTTTTATACACCGTCGTATTTTTCTTTAATTTTAACATAATAAATGTGTAAAACAGACACGGCAGAAAGTGTATTTAATATTTTTCAACATTGTCAAGCATAATTCCATGACGTGATGTACGCTGATGACGCTGTGAGACTCGTTTGGCTTGTAAACAATTATTTAAATACAGAACTGTCACACATTCGGTGCTTTCATGATATTGCTATGCTTTTCATTAAAAATACATGCTTGCGAAATTAAGGATTTCAAACGACACAAAGAAACTTTTGACAGAAAGCTGCCAACAGTACTCAGAAAGTGTGTACTATTATAACAATACAAAAGTTAAATTGGGATACCTGTTTACGTTAATACAAAAATGTGAATGACTTTTATGCTATCATAAACTGTCACAATATTTTAACATGTATCAGTTGTAGCTATTAATAGTAGTGAATGCTTGACTGATGGTGAATAGAAATTGGGACATTTACCTTACATTTCACTTGCTTTTCCATCTCGTAATTCGTAATCTCGTTTCGAATCAAAGTAATCAATCGAAGATCGCGCATGGTAGATTTCAGTTGATGGTAACTAATTCCACGAATGTGGAAATCAGTAACGATTATAGATGGAATTAGAGGTGGGTTAGTTGGTGGAAGTTATGGCAATTGGCCAAGCGCGTTATCTTTATACGATTTGGGGCCGACGCTAACCGATGGGCGGTGAAACTCATTGAATTGATCTGTTTTGCCGGGAGCAGATCGAGCAAACTGTGATTGAACGGTAGCAAATTTATGATTCAACTACTCCATGCGATTTCACGCATAATCATGTTTCTACAATGTGTAGAATGCTTGCACAGAGATTCGGGCAGCTGCCGCGTTGGTTCTAATCGGTCCGTCCGATACGGAATTCCGGAATACGAATGATGCATACATATTTCAGGGGGCGATAAACAGAACATTGTAAATTCGTTTTCCAAATGCGGCGAATAACATAACTGTGATTATTCCCACGTGAAATAACGCGGCGCGGGAACGCTATTCTCTTCGCAATTTGGACGGTAAACGGTAAAATTCAGTAACTCACCCCTTTGCGGGAAGGAAGCGGAAGCGGGGCTGACGCGAGTCAGGGTGCCAACGACGTCGCTCGGCGACGGATGCTCGAGAGTCTGCAAACCATGCGTCGGCCTCCATGGAAACGGCCAACCGGCGCCGCCGGGTAGGACGCTTCGGATGCCGTCGGCGTCGACGATGTCCGATTGGCCGGTCACCTGGACCGCGTTGCTCAGCGCCGACGAGGCCACGGCCAGCCGCGAGTGATGCTGGTGTTGCTGTTGCTGATGCTGGTGGAGATGCTGCAACGTCGACGGAAAGAACACCCCGCCGACGCCGATCCCGACTGGATATCGGCTCGCTATCAACGACGACATCAGGCCCAATCTACACAGATTCAACGATTTAACGATTAATTAATTGCACGAGGAAAATAAATTATGATTCTTTGGTATCGTGTTATCTGCAGAAATCCTACTCGAGTCCCGTTTACTAAATCCTGCTTCTGTCTAGCTTCGATTTGCTTTATCATAAAACCGCGAGAGAGCTCGCGAAGAATCGCGTTCAAAGAGTTCGATTAATCGGGATCGGTCGACTGTTTCACGGGAGTCAGGTAACCGGGATCGTTGCGGGGGTGAGCGCGCGGTCGCGTAAAAGTGAAACCGTTAGCGAAATGTTTGCGCCGGTTGCGAGCCGTTTAAAGCCGTGCTCTAAATAAAACAGCGCTACACAAAAAACGCTGAGATTAAAACACCGCGCTGTGTTTTCCAGCGGACGCACGGAGCGCGGCGCTCTGAATGCGAATCTCCGTTAAGCTTTACACAGCCGGAACGTAGCCGTGTCCGAGGCGTCGAGCGCGATTCACCCTGGCCCACCCCTCTCCTTTCTCCCTCCCCCCCCCCGGTTTTTTCCTCGTTGCTCACCCCGTCTCCCGTCCTTACCGAAAACTCGGCAAACGTTTCCAAAACCATTTATCCGCCAGCGGAAAAACCAGCTCCGTTCCAGCTATTATCGTTGCGTACTGCGCGAGAAGAGCTGAAACCGTTTCCTCTCTAACATGTACCGATCTTCCGGAAGTCATTAACACCCACTCAGCCTAGCCTCGATCCAGTGGTTCCAAAAAAGGAATTCCTCGAGAGTTATGCCTATTAAGAACGATGGCAACAATGGAGAACAGCTGGTGCCGAGCTCGTTATTAACCATGAAAATCCGCTTACAGGATTTCGATGAATCGACGCGACGAGTGTACCTGTGTCCCGGGTCGAGAATACCTATTCTGTTGGTAGCTAGGTAGCTGTTTCTTCGATCTCAGTGCTCTCGATTTCATGACTCGCCCTCAGGCATCGGAGCTCTCTACATTAATATTCATACAGGACGACGTATGCTCAGGTCAAATGCATTAACAGAATATTTTATAATGTTAATAAATCTGGCTTAAGAATGGCCAACAAGTCGATCACCAAGCTTTGATTTAATAGCTGAATTGTCACTTATTAGTAGAGAGTAGTACACGTGTTTGAATGTGTTAAATATCAAGACATTAATAGATACATTGCGATAATTTAAAAAAAGAAATAGTCGATTATATAATCGTTGTATATAGAAATATAAAAAATATATAACTATAAAAAAAAATATAAATACATAATAGAGTTAGTTCATTGAACTCTCTTGAACCTGACACTACTTTAAGAATTCTGTCAGTAATCAATGATTGACTCTTGTTTCCCTTCTCGTTATCCTTCTTGTATCATATCATTTTATTCTATTTTATTTGTCTTAATTATTTTTAATGAAAATGAATTATTTTTAATGAAAATCGATAATTGAAAATATAATTAAAAAATAATTAAAGAGCGACGAACAATTTTTGGATTAATGTTAGTTTTCGAGAAAAGATGATAGCCGATGGGTTGTACTGATATTTTTGGGGGCTGAAAGTTTTGCGAGCACTTTTCTTCAGGTTTTAGTCGGAACAAGTTCTCTGGTAAATACAGCTCTTTGCGGGGCGCTTTTAAAAGGTGCTCTTAATTGTGGATTAAGGTAAATGGAGATCACGGTGATACTTAAACCTGTAAAGCCAGAGACACAAATCGGTAAATCCGGATATTTGTAAATGGAACTCTCGCGGTTGCGTCCTCTTAAGTGCTGATCTCGGTTAGGATATTCGTGGCTAGGATCCCCGTTCTACGGCTTTCGGTTTTCAATGCGCAACGCAACCGAATCGCTTCCCGTCCTCTTGAGCTGCAACCTGAGCTCGCGGCGCGTGCAATTAGAACACTATTTCACAGATTATCTAAATTAAACCTTCGACGGCAGCACTTCGACAAACAGACTATACATATATTATACTGGGTATAATATCACAGAAATAAACAATTCTCTTTGATTTTGCCAATTCAGATATTTCAGCGTTATCTGATTTTTATATTCAATCTATATTTCGAATTCCTTACATGTCAACACATATGAAACGTTTAGAATTACCAAATCAGTCAGAGCGAAGACTGGGTGTGAGTGAAGAAAGAATGTTAAAAACGTGCGTAATTCTAGCGTTAATCGAACGTGTTGTAGAGTAATTAGACAGAAATATTTGCCGTTGGAAAATCCCACTTGAAAGCGACTACTAGAGGCAAGCACCCTAAACGTAAACTTTCGAATACTTGAGCGAGCGTATATCCCTCGGTAACAACACCGATACCCTTCACCCAAGTGCCTAACCATAGCTGCAGACATCCAACAGCCCCCAGGCGGCTCTCGACCCCCTGCCAGAGCTAGAGCTCTCAATTATACCAGCCATTTTGCCGGGTCGCGTGTAACAGCTTCGCGATCGTTACTCGTGATCAGCACCGTGGTATCTGAGTACACACGCACGCATACACAGCGTCGTGTATAAGCGTCGCTGGAAACGTCGCGACGCTCGGTGTTGGTTAGAACGATAGAGGGATGACGAGAAAAGGAACTTAACGCTCTCGCCAACGATTTGCGGCGACGATTTAGTTGGTCATCAGAAATGTAGGTTCGAACGGATCGTCGAGAGCGCGAAGCCCACGGCACCGGTTCGGAAGCCATACCGGCGGCGTTCCCCGACGCGTTCCTGCCTCGCGTGACGCCGAGTCCCGCGGCTAGCAACTCGCGGCAACGCAAGGCGCGAGCAGCCCATCTGATCGTTGCACTTTTTGCATCGACTCGGCCTCATGCTCGGCGACGACGATCGTCCGCTTTCGCTTCGATCGAAGCTCGTCGAGTCGACACGCTGCTTGCGGTGGGATTCCTTTATCGTTTCCACTCGTTACAAGTTGTCGAGCTCCGTTCAGGGACGTCGGTCTCGGTGTCGATCGGAATCTCTCTCGACGTTAACGAACTTGCCAGAAATCCGAGATTTACATAATTTCATAGCAAAGAAAACTTGTACAAAATTTTCATCGAGCTGACATTCTTCGATTCGTTGAAAAATTAAAAATTATTTTCCATTATTTAAACAAGAAAATTTGAACTGTCTCGTGTCTTGGTATACGACAAAATAATTCACGGCCAAAGGAGGAAGAATGCAATCGCACCAGTTTTCTCGCATCGACGGTGCCTGCATTTAGGAAGGCGAGTCCTGGCGATGGTGGATAAGGGAAAGAGGAAACGTAAAAAGAAGAGTAGCTGGCTGCAGTAGGCCGGAGGCATCGGAGGCGCGGAACACAGATGCCCCGGGAAAGATAAAAGAAATCTGACAACCGCCTGTTTGTAAGCATCCACCGGCGGGGTGGCCGTTTTCTAAGGAGCCCAGGTATAAACACCAAACACTCTTCAGGGCCCGCGTTCCGTTCTGCTCCGTTCCGTTCGAGGAGCGTGCTCCACCTTTTTCTGCCTAATTCTTGCGCGGCTTACGTCTTCTTATGTACTTCTTAGGTAGCCAGCGGAATGAATGGCCGTGAGGAGAGAAGGCTTTCTTCTCTCCTTTCTACGGGCGCGACTCCTCTTGCTCCGGCTTCTTGCTTCAGCTCGATCGATTCCACGAGGGTCCTCGACTTCCTTCGATTACAACCGAGCTCCATTCCAACGTACATTTACATACATGCATATTCTTTCGTCGCAGGTTTAAATACTACTATGACTGTAATGACAATCGTACAAAACTTCATCTCAAATCTTACAACGTTCGTTTTAAGACCAATGGAAAATTGTGCATCTACGTGCCATTACTTCCTCGTTTCTACCATCGAGCCGGGCGTTCTTATTGGCCCGATCGAGCGTCGGTGAGAGGAAACTCGTTGATTACGAGCCACCCTCTTCTTGGCATAATCGGATATACAGGCGGCTTTCGTGAAACTGGCGAATGTAGTCGGAATTGAACGTCAAACTGAAACCAGTTCTCTCTTTCTCTCTCTATCGATTCGATCGCCTGTAAGGTTGGTCAAGCTTCTTTTCTTTCTCCTTGGCCAATTTGTTCGTTAAACTTCGCCTCTACCTCCTTCCTATTCATCCACACTTTCAATAAGGATATTATCCTCTTTTTTTTCTGTATCGATTATTATTCCAACTTCTGGCCGGTCGCGCGCCGGCCTCTCCTCTAACGTAAGTGCCATTCTCGGATATAAACTCTTTATGCCGTGGTTAACGATCGTCCGTAACACGATACGTTTTTATAGTGTTCCGTTACAGCAGGGGTGCCGGTTTCGGAGCACGGAGAAAGTAGAGAGCGCGATGCTCAGACGGAAGAACAAGGAAAAGGCGAAGTCGATTTGCGCACGGCGACGTCGGCCAATCGCTCTGGGCCCCTGAGTACAGGCGAACGAGTAGACAGGCACTGCTTTGCTTTCGGTTTTCAATTTCAATCGCCTCGAGGAGTTCGTGTCGATATAGGCGAATTCCGTAAAGGTTTCCAGCGTCTGCATGCTAATTAACCCTTCCTCCCCATTGGCGATATTTTTTACCGTTCCTCATTTGCTTTTGCCCCTTCGAACGATGAAGAAGAATTTAATTTTTAACATGACGCGTAACGAACGCTTCTTCCAATGTGACTTTTTTTATGCGTTTTATTGTTGTAAAAGTTTTTCGCGAAACTGACGACGTCGTTAAACGAATTACGATGGCGAATGCAAGTGGGTAATAGGTATTGACAAGGATAGCAAGCTCTGTTTTTATCGATTCGGCTAACAGCGTTCGCGATTACGTAGCGACTTATAAAGTGTCATTACGATGACCCAACAATGAGTTATTGGCTTTCAAAGTACCCGGCTAAATCCACTACTTGGCTTCGTTCCGCTCGCTGGGCTGTTACAGGCCAAGTGGAGGATTTATGCTTGTACTTACACAGGAGACAACTTCATTTCACTGGATTTCAAGGAAACAACTTAATTGCTTTAGCGCGACGCTTGCAGGCTTTAGAAACCCAGACCAGGACACACTCGCGGATTAAACCCGTTTGCCCATGAAGAGAGAGAGAGAGGAAGTGGGAATTAATTAAACACGCCAGGCAGACGTCGCGGAGATTCTCTTCCTTCTTTTTAGATTAAAACATTCTTTGTTGAAACGTATCAACCCTTCGACGGAATGAGACGATTCCCAAGATGTAAACTCACATCCACGCTACTGCGAGTGAGATAAAAAATTATGACTGCGTATCAGAGATTTTTTGACGCAAAACACGTGTATGGCTTTTGAAACAACGTCTACAAAATCGAATGGTACCAATCATCCTCAACGCGAGAGAACAGTTTCGCGAAAAAATATTCGAAAGTATGCCTGCCGTTTCGCTGGCAATACACCGGGGCTGGTTTTCGATTTCGGCGAGAGAACCGAGGCGTCATCAGCGTCGAGAGAATAGTAAAGGGGGACGGGAGGGGACGAGTGCCCGAGGAATAAGCGAGAGGAGCGAGTATCGAAACGACACGACACGCGGTGCACGTACACGCGGACGGAGCATCAGGGAAGGGTAAAAGAAGTAACGGGAGTGAGAAGAAAAAAAAAAAAAAATCGAGAAGAGCAGAACGAGAGGAACGACAACGGGGAGAAGATGAGAAAGAGAGAAACTGTGTTTCGACGCGATTATTATTCGTGCTCTATTCCCATCTACCGTTCATTCCACATTTGTTTCCGACGTTGAACATCCATATCGCCCTTGAACGGGCGATCATACACAATGGGCTTTATCGTAGCTTCCTTTGAAACCTCGAGCGCGATCCCACGCTAATTAACGAATCATTCATCGGCACTGTAATTAACGAGGCTGACTCTGTCGCGGATTATCCCGGCCAGATCTTTTGCGCATAGACGACGACGACGTCATGTGCCTGCGCCTGCGGTTACGTTACTGCAATATTGTTGGCTCTCTTGCAAGGGGGCACGCGCGATTTTTGCACCGCGCAGGAAAATGAGTGAAACCAGCGTGGGCGAAACCAAAAGAAATACCTATAATATACCGCATATATATTTTTTTTTATACAGACATCCTTACGACGACGATTCCTGTGTCTCTCGTTGCGTTCATGCCGCACACTCCTCGTGCGAGACCATTTTTTTCTTCTCTTTCTTTTTAATCCTCCATTTCTCTTTCTCTGTCTTTTAATGGAACGCCGTTACATTTGTTGCGCTCCGCTTCACGGGATAAACACGCGGTAATTAGATTGGACCGCGCGGAAAATGTTGAAGATAAACGGGGAGACGCGTTTCCGCGACACACGCGCTGGCTTCTGATTAATTTACAGACTTGGCTCGCGTTTACGCCAGAGCTTCCTACGTACTAGGCATCTCCAGCGTCGGAATATTATCTATTTTAATACAGCTTTGTGTTTCGTGCGAGACGCTAACTTTGCGTCTCTCGATGGCATTGGCGACACCAGCAAGCAAGTTTAATTGTTCCGCGACCGACTTCATCGCGATGTTCAATCAAAGCCCCGATTAGTTGTTCCCGGATCGTGAAGGATCGTATTTAAAAAAGGATCGTGAGCATCCTTAAGTTTGTAACGCGATTCGTTTGGCCGCGTCTACACCGGAAAACGGTTTAGAGGTTCGGCTGTGTATCCCGAGTCGAGTTTAATGCGCTTCCGCAAGCGAGACGGCTAGTGTGTTACTTACTTTCGCACACGCACGCACGCAGCCACGTACACGGAGGCGAGGTAAATTCGCGAAGCGTCTAATTCGGATAATATTCTACACGGGAATCCTTTCCGCTGGAATCTCCTCGCCCTGGAAATGCTATTACCGTATCAGTTCCGTGAGCGGGAAGGAGAAAGTGAAAGAGAGTAAGGCAGGTAAACGGTAAGGAGGGCGACGTTAAGCGGGAAGATTTCGCGATGCTAGCTCTTCGCGTGCTCGGCTCGACCTTGGCAGGGCTGAGACTTCGCCTCGGCACGGCTACACCGATTTAATAATAAATCAAACCCAGAAGTTGCTCGCTTCCTCAGCGCGGAAGACGCTCGATGGTGTTGAAACGGGGCCCCATCCCGGGTTAGGTGGCCGTTTCTCTCCCGGGAGATCTTTAGGCTCCTTAACTTTGGCTCCGCCACGTTTCATCCTTTCATCTATTATGCACGCGTTGTGTTGCCTAATTAATTCTTTCCTACTTTCTGCGACTAGGCCGATATCTGATCTTGTTCAACGAATATACGAGTCATGCGATGTTCAACCGGTTGTTCGAAAGTATTGCCAGAACGTAGAAACCTGATACAAGGTCTATTCCCGAGATCGGAAATAATTCGGGTGGTAAATAACGTAGACCGCGACCGCGGTGACACTTGGGTGCCCCAGCCGTGTAACAACCGTTTCCATCGGGGCGGCGCGACGCGTCCTGGTTGCACACACAGACTGGAGTGGAACTTAATCAAATGGTAAACGGGTGGAAAACAAGCAATTGGAGGCATCGAACGGGCGGTACGCGGGAGACCGAGCGAGAGAGGAAACACGCTGGTTATACTACAGGCGGGAGCCGTCAATCGGAAGGGGGTGTAAATCTGATAAAATCATCTCGAACCCTCCCTCGTCTCTGGTAGCCCCTTGTGGCACGGCCTCGCTCGAGTTCCTCGCCGAGATATATCCGATATAGAGCCCGGACGGCCCTAAGTAACGTAAGTAATGTAAGAGGGTGGTTGTTGCTACGGTTGTTATTAAATGAGACAGCCTAATAGGCCCATTACGGACCCCTCGGTCCATTCCCACATAATATAATCCGCCGCTGCTCTTGCAGACACGCGCACTCTCCGCTACTTTATCACTCCCCGACCACCTTCGGCCACCCTTGGCCCGATGTCCGCGCGCGCCTCACACGCACAAACGGCTCTCCCAGTGTTCGATATTTACAATTAAACGAAACAAACGTTTCCCCAGCTTCTGAAGCTGCAAATTCATGCAGCGAATTACTCGCAGCGAATAGACGTCACGTGGTACTTCCGCGGGTAAATGCGAGTGTTTGCAACTAGCTGAACTATGCCAGCTTTTCACGAGTATTCGCAAGATGAGCGTCACGTTGTATTGTGGCACAGCGTCCTGAAGGCAAGTCAGTTTTTTAGTTGCAGTTGCGTTTTCATGCAGCGAATAGCGAATCTATTCGCTTCACTTGCATCTACTCGCAGCGAATTATTCGTTGCATGAAAACGCACTTTGTTCCAAGTTGTCCATCAGGACGTGCACGGGGGTCGTCGTGAATTTTCAAACACGTTTCGTGAAGTTATCTCTGATCGATGAGTTGATATTCCAAGAAAATTAGTCACTGATGATATATTAATTGATGTAGAAAATGACAGGGTTGTGAGGATTGTAGGTGTCGCGGAACGCGGAACCGCGCAAAGCGCGCGTCGATTGGGCGACATTTGTTGTCGATCGACGTTAATCGCATGCGGCCGTGAGCGATCATCGATGAAATAGTTATCGCGCGGCCGGCTGACTGCCCGACGTTGTTGCATAGATAGAAAGTTGATGACGTGCGCTAATTCCTTATTAGTAAACACCGATAACTCTATTTAGTAACGTTGACGCATCGGTGCCAAATGTTAACTGCACCGCTGCAGTAAACTTCTGGTACATAACGGATGCAACTGTGCTCGGATTTTATGAATCATTGCTCCGATAAATCACTTCCGCGTTATTTCATCTTATTACGTGACATTCTATTATTCTTTTATCCAAATAAAAAGCAAAGTTCGTATTATGTGCTGTTCGGCTACTGGTGAGAAAAATTTTAAGGCGCGTTTCTAGAAGTGAAAATAAGGTAAAAGTCAAGAATGAAATAAATTGTATCTGAGACTCCATTTTTTAGCTAGCGATTGAAAAATTGTGAACATTGATTCTTAGATGAAACGTGCGTTTATAACTCTGATGTTATCACCTATAGATATTCTATAGTTAACGCTATATTGCGAGATGCGAATTGCTTCACTTATTTAACTTGCCGATATCATCGCTGAGTATACAATTATTTAGAGAATTAGTTAACAAGAGAACACATAATTAAGATTTTAACTAATCGTGAAGAATGTATCAAGAATTACGTAACCGTTACGAGGTATATTAATATTTAGACTGATCGCACGTGCTATTTGAGAACCAGTGCTGACAGTAATTTTTCATCGTTTATCATTAAAAGTAAAAATAATGGATGAAGCTTCACAATTTTCTTATTCTTAATTTTCGCGTTATTTTGGCTTCTAGAATTACTCATAAAATTTTTCTCAGTAACCGAATAGTCTGTATAAATATACAAGCGTTACTATTGCCGTTTGATAATTCGCTCTGAATTGACGATACTTATAACTGTGATCGATGAATTTTGTACAAATTAAACGAAAGAGTGCACGAAACAAGAGTCAGCACACTTGGTAGTTGCACTGAACCGAGAATTCTGCAGAACAAATTGGCACCAGAATGAAATAATAAAGACCAGTAAGTGAGACTGGACTACCTTGACAGCATGGCTAGGTCGGCCGACGCTTGGTGACCGAGAAGATGGTTCGCAGGAACGTCGGTTGGCGGTGAAAACGTGGTCGCTGGGCTGGTAGCACTGGTAGCGCATCCGATTCCGATACTAGTCGCGTTGTTCCTGGTCTCGATGGGATGGCCGACGGCCGAGGCTCTTTGACTACCAGCGAATCTCAAAGACGTCGGCGAGGACAGTGCCCTGGCAGGGGCAGGGCTGTCGCAGGAGGAACCGATCCTCTGGGAATTCTGCGCGATCGGTGATCCGCGGTCGACGTCCGACGATTGCCTCTCAGCGGACACCGTCGACGTGGAGTCGACCGGTGGCGACTCGGGCCTGCCGAGAATGCTCGAAATGCTGAACGAGGTGTATTGAGGATTGCAAGCGGGCCTCAGCGCCGGCTTGCCAACGTCGAAACTGAACGAATGATGGTTGTTTAATCCGCAACCGGATTTCCCGTTCTTCTCTTGCAGCAGCAGCTCCGCCGGCGTCGAGCTGCTTCTGGATCCCTCCAGCTCTAAATCCTCCTCGGACACCACAGACACCTCGATCTCCGTTTCACCGGACATCGTCGACCCGTGACCGAAGTGTCCGACGCGAGGTTCGTGGATCCCCGTTCGGTACGGGGCACTCTCCAATTCTGTCTCACCGGGAAGAATACAAGAATCGAAGGAATAGTCACTGTGTACGAAAGACTGCGCGCGATCGCCCCGTCAGAGACGGACGGGACGGTCCTCCGTCAACGACAGTCCGACGGCAGAACACGGTCTATCATCCGACGACACGCGGATCAGTTCGAATCGCGGCTCGCGTCGCATATCAATCGGAGACCGTGGCTGGTTGCCGACGGTGATAACTGCGTAGGCTAGCGGACGCGTCGCGACGCCTCCGTCGTCGTCGTCGTCGTCGTCGTCGTCGTCGTCGTCGGCAGGACGTCTTTCGTGTTCCTGTTTATGCTCGTTCTCGTGCTGGATCGGACACGTATCGTCCGATCACGCGACATTCGTAAGCGATACCCTAGACGGGATGACGCGAGACGAGACACTTGGAGGGCCCACCCTTCCGAGGGCCACCCTCTTTCACCCCTCTTTCGTCCTTCGACCACAACCTTCCTCCTGTTTCTCCTCCTCTTACTGCTGTTGGTGTGAGTGCGTGGCTTGCGTACGTGCGTGTGCCGGCACCTACTACCTTCTCCTCTTTCATCCGACCATCGTTTACCAGCTAGCAGTCCGACACGCAGCCTTTTCCTCTTTCACCCTTTCTCGTTGGCAGCTAGTCCGTTCGCGGAAACGTTTACGTACATGTAAACGCGCCAAGTCACTTTCCCCAGTCACTGTCTCGTTAATCGCTCGCGATAATCACTCCCCGTTGATGATCGTCCATTGGCGATAATAAATATCGTTGAATCGTCGTCTTGCGGTATTTCGTATATCTATTTGTTACTGGATCGGATCGACGATTCGCACAAGTCTCTGACAAGTTGCGGTGCTTCGAGACGCGATGAGAAGAGTCGAACGACACGCGAGAAGGTGGATGCACCGTGGATCATCGATTCGCGGTTAATCGCGAAACTCGAGCAACGAAAGAGGGAATCGCGAATGCGTGGCGAATGATGGACTGCGGATGGGTACTGTTCTCGCACTAAGGGTAGGAAAACGCCGGAGAAACCACAGGTCACACGAACGAGGGCCTTCCTCGAACATTCGCGCACGCAGCGCGCGGAGATGGTGGGAGCGAGAGGGAAACGGGTAGGGGTGCGGAGAGGGTGGCGGCGGGGAGAAAGAGAGAAGAAAGGGCCGAGCGTGAAGCGGAGGAAAGAGAAAGCGAAAACGAAGACGGAGGCGAGGGAAGAAGGACGGAGCGTGGAGTCTCGCTCGTGAACCACCGCGGGATGGTAGGACGGCAGAGTTGCTGTTGCGCGTCGGATAGATAGACGACTACGACTACTTCGGAGGACAGAGACGAGGTAGTTGTAGGGGTTGGAACGAGAGGGATGAAGCTACCGTTGGAGGGGTGCGGTGAGGTCGGCTAAGCTGCAAGTTGCCGGAAGGGGTGCCGTTTGTGGAGGGGTAGTAGGGCGGGGCGGAGCAAATGGCTTACCGTAGGGGATGGATCCGGCGATTTCTCATAGGGTGCAGCCGCGATCGATGACTCGTGCCGGAGAGTATCCGGCAGCGGGGTAGCCGTGGGTGCGAGCCAATCGCGTGAGTCGCGACGTCCTTAACTCGGAAGATACTCGCCCTCGCGGATCCTGCGGAACGCGTAAATGGGGGCGGCTCGCCGTGGCTGTCTATCCGGTCAATCCCTTCCTACTCCTCGGCATCCCCCATCGAACGGTGGGGATAACGCACAACTCCGGTGGCTGGTGGCCGTGCCTCGCCGTGTTACTTATCCATTATAACACTCCAAGATCTTGATTTAAGCCTGCAGCCAGCGGTGAGCTTTTAACCAATTAGCCTTTATAGCCTACTCCCCTCGACACCCCGGACTCGCTCTGCTACCCCGTGCCGCTACCTCTCGATCTTCTCTCTCTCCCTCTCTCCCTCTATCTCTCGGCCTGAGCCCGTGCAACGTTCGTCGGCCATCCTCCTCGTCGGCCGCCCATTTCGCCTCGTCTCGTTTCGGTCCTCGCTCTCGTCTCTCCTTTCCTCCCGCGTTCACCTAACCGGTGCGCCGCGCGATGGTAGTTGCCATGTACACCTATATCCGCTATTCTATGTATACCAACGTCCTCGCCGCAGTCGCGCGATGTACCCACCTAATCTACTGCCTTCTCTGCCTTCCACCCTCTAGTTACCTCTATCCGTTAGCGCCCTCTTTTTCTTCGTCCATCCCTCCCGACCTTTCTTTCTCGCTCTCTATAACCACATGCATTATGCGCGTCGGTGTATCAGAGCAGCGCATTCGCGCGTGCAAATACCTCGACAGCATGTATCCGAACGCGGGGGTGAGTTTCCCTCGCTCCAAGTTAGGAACGCAGCTGTCGCCCACCCAACCCGTCGGCACCGTCGCCTTTTTCCTTCTTCCCAGGTGGTCGCCTCTCTTTCCCTCCCGGCGAGCCGGCCGACGGAAATTAAGAGTGGACCACGCGATTCTCCACCGATACCGATATCATCCTGCCGCTTTTTCTTCGCTCTTCTTCCCCATTCTTAGCGAATTCTTAAGGACTTGTGAACAAGTACCAGAAACGGCTAGCAGAATTCCGCATTTTATCTCGTTGCTAACCGTTTTAGACGCGAAAAAGGGATCTCGACTCGCACCGATACGCGCGAGCGCAGACATAGACGTAGGCGATGGAAGCGGTGCCAGTGTAGAGGGTTAAACGCGTTCTTGTCTCACGAGGAACTCGGATCCGAACCGCGACAAAGCGAGCCACCGACGGCCGTTTGTGCCGCGCTCGTTTCTACGCGTCTGCCCCTGTCACCCCGTGACAAACCACCGACTGCTCGTTGGAGGTAACGAGAAACCGTTGACCAACCCTCGCAGAAAGAGGTAGCGGCACGATTCTCGTTTCACCGGAGTGTAACCAAGTTATATCCACAGTTCGCTCTAACCACTTTCAAGTATCGTCAGAACGACGGGCTCTCCATTCCATAGAATTCATCTCTTTGAAAGAATATAATTCCTGCGTATCACGTGTTTGGATCAAAAATCCAAATCGATAGTACGTCCAATCGAGCAGAGGAAATTTCAGGAATACTTATCGAGAGATTACGAATTCTTTCGTCAGAGTCAAACGCTTGACGGATAGAAGAAGGGATTTAATGTCTGAACGCGTCGATTTACGAATCGATTATCCATCGTTAGCCTCGAGCACGGTTCCCTCGTGCCTGCGCGTAATAGCAGGCCGAACGGACCGCCTTGCGCCGCGCCGCATTTTACTTTGTGCCCGGTGCGTAACGCGTAAGAGGATTATGTTCTGTCCATGTGGAGTGTACCCGGAGCTAGGTGGGCCGCGAGAGACGGGAAAAGAGGGTAAAGAGACACGGTCTCTTGGAACGATTTCGTAGCGAGTACGAGCGTAGATCGCAGGAGAATGCCGGACGAGCCTCGCGACGAAGAACGAGAGGGATAGAACGTGAGGGAGATTGAAGGGGCAGGGGGATGGTACCTAAGTGGTGGGTATGCTTCACTTTTCACGGGAGCTCCATTGTTCCCTATTATCCGGCGTGATTAGTCGATGATGCAGGTAAGCTACCACGGGGGGTCCCATTCTGCTGCCGACAGAACCGAACTCGCTCATCCGCGAACTGCGTGAGTTTCGCCGGGAATATTGCGATCATCTCCTCTCTGTAGTAACGCGTTCTATCCGTCCCGTACGGTACCGCGTCGTTCCTCATGCCTCGTTCCTCGTTCCACCAGTCGGGAAGGACCAGCTCGGACGGATACATTCAATGCAAGGCGCGTATTTTGCCTCGCGATGGTCCGCCGATCGAATTGGTCGCACCGGCCGACCTGCTGTGAAATTTATACCCTTACCGTGCGCCGCAACAATGACCGCGGCGGCAGCCTCCGTCGGCGTTTTTGCACGCCCGATTTGTATTACCGTTATGGCTTCGTCCCTAAACCATGGATACTGCCTGGGATACGCGGATCTGTTTTGCCGAGTAATTAGACTGTGCAACGATTCTCTCAGTTCTATCGTTCTCCCTGTTCGTTCGCCTCGGCTCGTACGCGCACCTGGAGGTCGATCGGAGAATCGATTCGAACGATCGGAAACGGAGAAGGTTCGGCTACTGTGGGAGGGTAATCGCGCTGGGAATTTCTTATCGCTCCGAATCGCGCGATGAATAGTTGAACTTAAGAAGCTAGAGTAGTCACGTGACTTTTCCAACGTTTGCTGCTAACTTTTCTGTTCGCTCTGTTTTTCATCGATAACCAAGCAGAAGTATAGATTTACGGAATGACACTTTTCGTTCTTATGTATATGAAGATTTTTCGGTCGTCAAGATACTTTGGGTTGAAAAGATCAAAGTTAAATCTGGTCTTGCAGTACATCTGTGAATTTTTTCAGAATTCTTCCTATATTACAACCACAAACGACGTTAGATGACGGGGTCAAGAAAGTCTCTGAACAGTTCATGTATGTTGTTTATGTTCTACCCGTTAATAAAGATAAAGATGGAACATTTTTTTAAAGAGGCACCTAACGCCCGAAAAGTTTTATATAAGAACGAAAAGTCTAATCTCGTAAATCCATATTTTTGGCCAATTTTGTGGGTAACATTGACATTCTGGTTTATCGCGCTGCTATCGGTGTTTACCTCCTTAATAGCTGCAAATCTGTGAACGCTTACGAGCTACTGTGAAAGACGAAGTATAGCGTCCGATCGTCCGGGTCGGTGGACGTGTAAGGAACCTCCGTTTCGGATGGCCGGGTCTCGTTTCAACTTAAGGGAGCCTTAAGGGAAGCTTCCTTAATCGCGTGATCGAACACTCATAATCGTAACGCGACACCCACGCAGCGTGGAAGCAGCCCGGGAGGAGGAGGCAAGCGAGAGATCGATCAGCGAACCAACAACCGTGACATAATACCTGCTTAACGAGGGATACAGCTGGTGAGTAAAGAAAAAGAGAAGATGAGACGGAGGAGGAGCGGTTAGATAACAAGCGATTAACGTCGGTCACACGGGTTCGAAACCACGCGGGCTCGAGGGGCGCATAATGGCTGAACGAAGGTAAACGAGGAGCCCGAAGGTCGTGGAACGAGGCAGCAACCGGGAAGAAAAGACTCAGCTCGCCTGCCCCGAGCTTTAATACCTTACATTAAATCCGGCGAGAGTAAGCGACTAATTACTTGACGCCGTTCACAGTAAACGCGAATTAAAAGGGAACCGGTGGCTCGTTTTCGTGGAGGGATCCTTTGTCTCCTTCGGTTTTGCTGATCTATCACTCCTACTCTCTCTCTCTCCTCTCGTCTTCTCTCTTGTGCCCTGTTCGGCTTCAGCGCCACTTCTGCTGCGCCAGCCTTCGCCTCGTGCGAAGACCGATGCGAGCGGACATCCAGATCCGCCGGAAAATGACAACTACCACTCCCCAGAATTGCTCGTGAAAATAAAGGAACCTTCTCTGATGTAAAATCTCTAGATCTGATTTGGTTATCTACGATTAAACCTGATCGAACAGCAATGATTGCATTGGTAACAGGAGCGTCGCGGAAGAAGGGTTGGCTAATGTACAACAGATGAGTTTTAATTCAGCGTCAAGGGTCGATGCGCGGAGAATAAATTAAAGCGGTGAGGACGATACGATAAAGGGGGGAGCGATGCGACGCTGCGGTCAATAATGGCGTTTTCACGTTTTGACTGTCGATGCGGGGAACGCGATCTAAATTTCGGGGACGCACCGGGGCTGGTGTTAATGGACGAGGGGCGAACGTATCCCCTAAGGATAATCGTCCCGGTCAAATTAGGTAACTTTCGTAAATAGTTCCGCACGCTGTATGGTTCGCTTTTTCGCCTGTTAAGGGTACCTGTCTCTCTCTCTCTCTCTCTCTCTCTCTCTCTCTCTCTCTCTCTCTCTCTCTCTCTCTCTCTCGTTTCCTTTTTTATCTCGCAGGCCTCTACGCGAAACTTCTGTTAATTGGAGTAATCGGCGTGCTTTCGAAGCACAGGAAAAAGCAAAACGCTCGCGCGGGAAGCTAACGGGAGAGCGGAGGGTAAACGTGTTCTACGAGGAGGGTTGAAAAATCGTTGCGCCGTATGAATTTCGATATTAATTTTAGAAAATTTCGCGCGCGTTATATTAGCAAGCTCCATCGTATCCGGGTTGATTACCGAGCCGGGGAAAAATTACGGCCGGGAATAAATGAGGGGATCGGATGGAAAAAAATAGGCATCGTTATTTTGTTGGGTGCAATGGGAACAATGCGCGCGGAGTTGTTTGTCGGCCGGTGCATTATGATTATTTTAATAACGGATCAGTCACCGGTGCGTTCGATGAAAAAAGCGAATTTAACGAAAAATATGCACGCGG